AACATCCTCGAGTCTCAACATGGGCGAGGGCGGAATAAGAGCTCCAACGGGCGCGCGCATAGCAGGCGATGTACATTATTTTTCCTATGGCGAGACTAGTCATTGTCAGGCGGCACGTCCTCAGCTTGTCAGCGGTCGGGCATTGTTTGTTGACGATTTTGGAGAGAAGGATGGCTACTCTCTGTACGATTCTCCACCAATTTTTTATGAGGAGTTGCGGGGACGTGGGGACAACACTTGTTATTCGTCGATCGTGTTTTTCTCCTTGCATGGCTTCCGGGGGCTCGGTCCAACATAATCACATTTTTTAGTCGACATGCACTTTTGGCGGGAAGGTGTGTTACTTCATTATTGACTCAAGAGTCTTGTGAGAAGATTCATTTGTCGAGCGAGCCACACCCGCGGCCATATACACTCGCTTGGATACAGAGCGACAATGCTATCAGAGTCGATCACCGCGTGTTGTTCTCTTTTTCGGTCGGGCCCCGATATCGTGACACCGCTTAGTGTGATGTCGTGCCTATGGACGCATGTCACCTCTTGTTGGCCGTCCTTAGAAATTTGACCACTCGGCATCACATGACAGGCGTATTAACACCTACAGTATTGTATTTGAAGGTGTTAAGATGGTCCTCCATCCGTCTCCATCGAGGTCATTGTCATCCCCTGCGCCATCACTGTCTTGTTCTTGTCATGTGCAGCATTTGTCAATGAGATACGCAAGGCACTAAGTCCTACTTCTGGTGGGCTCTAACTTGTCGATGGAGTGTACACCACCAGACGATATCTGACCTTTGCCCGAGGAGTTTTTTTATGTACTTCCAGATAATCTCCCATCCGGTTTGCCTCCCCTTCGTGACATTCAACACCAGATTTATTTTGTGTCGGGCGCTTCTCTTTCGAATAGGCTGTTGGGTTCGCCTGTACCGTACGGGCTATACGCAGCGGAATTTAAAATTTTTCAAAACAAGTATTTAACACTTAAATACTTAACCCGTATATACATATGGCGAATTAACAAATCGTCATCTTTAAAAACATGTAATAATACAAATTTTGATTTGTTACAAGTAATATTAGAAATTACAAGTAATATCAAATATTACCTTATAACTCTAACTCCTTCTTCTTGATGGTGGTTAAGGAAATTGGTTCCCGTATTAATAACGAACACTTCGGTTTGCTCGCTTTTAGGAATCCACTTGTCTTCCCTCTAAATGTATCCACCGTTTGCGTCCGACTACGAGATGACTCCTTCGCTAGTAGGAACTCACTCGATTTATAACTCAGTATAGAAATATATAAATAGGAGAATATTACAAGAACAATTCTTGTTTACAAAAATGAAATACTAACTCTTTATCTCTCAAATTATAAGTGAAAATGTTAACACAAATTCTTGCAAAAATGAACATCAACCATGCCCATATTTATACTAAACTTTTTAGCAATAAAATATATATGACTTGTATAACTTTTACAAGAAATGTTACAAAAGTCTTTAATAATTTTGACAACCAAAATTAAAAAATCTTTTTCTCATTTCTACAAGTTAATACAACAATATAATAATTGCAAGACTCCATCTTGTCATTATTATATTATTATCATTATTATTTAATTTTTAATCAACATTAAAAATCACTAATAATAATAATAATAATAAACAAATAATTTTAAACTCTTTTAAAATCATTTGTAAACATATATATTATATTTAATATTCTCCTTTCATATAATAATCATATTATTATATGGATTTGAATTTTAAAATCCAATTTTAAAATCCAACTATTAATTTAGTAATTACATTAGTCACTAAATTAATATTAATCAATCCAATTGATTAATTTAATATATTTTTAATTGACATCTAATCAAAATTAGATTTTGTCAATTAATTCTAACTCTTTAG